GTTCCCTGCCTCAGGCAGGGGCTATCACTCTCCTTCCCAAGTAGCCATCCACCTCTGTCACTCTGGAGGATCAGAAGGGGCAGAAGCAGCCCTCAACAAAAAACCTTTTGGCACTGGAGGGCTGGAGAAACGCCCAGTTGGAAAGCTGGCAGAACGCCAGGAGGCCCTGGAGCTGCTGTGTCCCTCAAGGTCCCCCTTGCTCCCCAGAGACCCCGTAAGGTGCAAATGAGTCCCTGCTCTCCCTGACTGTGTGATGTGGACTGTTGCTTGTCATCTCTGGACCAAGGATTGTAGGTCTGAAGGTGCTCTGTAAATAGCAGGACAATGTGTGTGGTGTGCATGTGTATATGTGCTTTCTGTCCTTTCTAAAAATCCCTCCCAGGTGCCAAACTACACTGAGACAAGAGCTTCGGGGACAGATTTGGGATCTGTGGGACTGCCATGTCCTCTGGACATTATGACCTGGATGGATTGAAGTGTTTCAGAACAGTTGGGTCATCCTATGCCTGGCCTGGACAGGATCATGTGTCTTGGGGTGAGGTGGGGTTGTGTCTAGTGAGGCCCATGTGACAGAGCTCTAGTGAGGAAGGAGAAAGGCTTGGACCTCCTTTGGACAAGGAAGAAGTTCGGTGAGGGCTGCAGGCCATAGGTCACATCAGAGGGGCACCTGTAGGCCAGGCCTTCCTCTGCCTCAGCTAGGCAGGTGAGGCTGGAGCAGCATCAGGGCTGGGAGCCTCACTTCCCCATGACTTCAGCAGGATGATGATGATGATGATAATGGAGATGTAGACACCGCCCCTTCAGCAGGACCTCAGAGACCCCCTGCGCTGGCAGCTAAGCACAGGCTGTGGCTTGGTGCTCATTTCCGGGTCACAGCCCACTGGCTGCTGGTGGCTGCTGGACGGACGCTGACCACTGTGCTGTTGGCACTGGCAGGTACTCCAGGGTACCCTGGGAGTCCCAGCATTGACTGGCATGGAGCAGTGACTCAGAGCTCCCCGATGGGCTGGGCCAGGCTAGGCATGACCCAGAGTACCTCTGCCCCTACCCCGTAGGCATAGCCCATCCATCGGCCTTCTCCAGTGTCTACCTGCTGGTCTTCCTGGGCATCTGCACCTGGTGGGCCTGCCATTTTCCCATCAGCCCCCTGGGCTTCAACACACTTTGTGTCATGGTGAGCTGTTTCGGCGCTGGCCATCTCATTTGCCTCTACTGCTATCAGACCCCCTTCGTGCAGACCGCATTACCGCCTGACACAATTTGGGCCAGGTGAGTCTCCTGCACAGTCCCTTCTGCTTAACCTGGTCATGGCTCTGCTGACCCCAGGGCTGGTGGTCAGTGACACGCCTCCTCTGAATAGGGTGTTCGGTCTCAAGGACTTTGTAAGCTACACCAACTGCTCCAACATGCTGGTTCTCAACACCAGACATGACTGGCCTGTCTACGTGAGCCCTGGCATCCTGCTGCTGCTGTACTACACAGCCACCTCCCTCCTGAAGCTCCGTAAGCGCTGCCCCTCAGACCAAGTGAGTCCTCGCCATCCACCCTTGTGGGCTGCTGGTATCCTATCCAGCAAGGTGACGAGGTGGGTATTCCAGGGCCTCCTGGCCCTCAGGCTGCACTCAGAGCTCTGGTCTCTGCAGAGGAAGGAGGCACCGAGGGAGGATGAGGAACATGAACATGAACTGGAGCTGGACCAGCTGGAGCTGGACTCCCAGGCTGGGGATGCCACCCAGGTGAGCTTATAGCCAAGGAAGGCCGTAGGGAACCTCCCGCTACAGCCTGCTTACTCACATGTCCTCTGCAGCATATGATACCCACATCCACGGCACCTGACATTGACGACTGCATCGTGCATGACCTGACCAGCCAGAGCCCTGTCCGACAGCGTCCCAGTAAGTCACGGGCTTTCTGACCATCAGGACTTCTTCCTGTATGCACTTACTGGCTGGGCCCAATTTTTGATCTCGCTTGTGGGCAAGGCTGGGTCTGCCCCCTGGTGGCCATAGGTCCTATACGCACCCTACAGCCTCCTTGCCTGTTGGCCCTGGACCTCCCTGGACCTGTCCTATCACCAAATAGCTGATTGTCAAGACCCTTTGGGTGACCCTTGAGGTCTCTGGTGCCCTGCTTTTAGGTAGGAAGTGGCTCCCCATTTCTCAAGGCCCCCGGATTCTTCGTCATCCTAGAGTGCTGGCCTGGAAACTTTGCTAGGTAGTGTTGCTGTAGAAAATGCTATGCCTTTTTTGGGGTGCTTCATTTTTTACCCTGAACTTAAAAAAAATACTTTTAACTACATTTATTTATTTATTTATTTATTTATTATTTATTATGGAG